GCTCTATACAATATTAAGATTGTCTAGATTAAATACATGAATGAAAAGGCACAGAAATGCATTGAACAGAACATCTTCCCTCCAATCAGCTCATTATTTTGAATTCTCCCTAAACACTAATCGATGTATTCCATTATGTACAGCAACTAAAATACTATTGCATGCTAATATACAAGTAAATGTAACTATTCTATGATGCATTTATATACATTTGTGAGGTAAAAAGCTTAAACCATGCTTTACAAGCTTTACAGTAATAGAAAACTACTTCTATGTTTCAAGTCAAAAAAGACACCCACGGATCACCCAGCTCAGAATTCTGTGTAGTTGTTTCTGAACCCTAATTATGATGATGCAGATTTTACTGTCATTTCAGGGGCTGCGGGATGGAGAACTGGGCACATTCTCCAAACCATTTGCACAGAATCTGGTGTTGCAGCATAAAAGCACCATAACATTAAACACGACAGCAATGTTCATTAATAAAAATCTAGACAATCTTAAGATTATCAATTAATTTCTAATGTTTTACAGGAACAGAAGCTTGTTTGAAGCATTGTAATATTTAAACACCCCTTCTGTTTTTATATTTTTCTGGTTTTCTTCGTTAAATTTCAGAACATTACTGTTATACAAGTTTAAATGACTCAGGTTAATTTAGGCACCAAGGCAATGATTGTACAGTATGTTACATTATACAGTAAATTCTGTACACCTGTGTACAGATATCTATGAATAATAATCAGTCATCTAATAACAGCAGTGGTCCCATGTAGAGCTAAAACAATGCTCTAGATAAAATTATACATTATATCAGGTACTGGGGTGAAATACTTATATAAAAACATATAACAACTCAGCTTTAAAGACAATATCACTGAAAACTACAAGATGACTTCAGTGCTCTATTCTGACCTGGTTAAGTCTGTGCTGTTTAATAGATAAAGACCAATCTACTGTGCATTGATTTCAAATATCATCCTTAATTGTTGCCCTAAAAATGACCAGATCCACTGAGCTTTGACTGCAATAAGACATAAAAGGGACCTGAACCATTGAGGTCTGAGTTAGATACAAACAGAGCTTTTGTCTCACATAATAAGAAAGCAAGAGAATTCTGGCAGCATTTGCAGAACAAATGATAATTATTTATAAATGCAGTGACTGCAGTAAAATTCACGACTGATCCGTGAGTGTCTTTACCACACAGTAGTGAGCTAGTGTGTAATCGCTTGTTACAACGGATCCCTTCGACACCCTTGTGCCATGGGAGGTTCTACTGAACACACATTCAGAGATGTGCTCGAGAAGCAGCATGGTCACTGCAAATGTGGACAACAAAAAAAGAAAAACACGAATGAAATGAGAGAATGGTTTGAAATCGATACCTTTTACATTTTCAGGTGTAAATTAAGTTTGAATGTGTGAACAAAATGTGAAATATATCATATTATACATGTAAACAGTGCATTGCACATGGTTTAAAATTGAACATACACACAAAACATTTATGTACAGGGTGAAGGATAAAAAATTGTTAAAAACTACAGCAATATTTTATACCTCACCTATAATCTACAATGTAAAATATAAAAGTTGAATTGACTTGTGAGACTCCACAATGACTTTGTTATGGTTCCAAATGATTAGTCTGAAATTCTGCCTGTTATTCAGTGCAGATAAATAAAAAAGCCACATATCACAAAAATGGCCACATTCGTTAAACAGTGGGTTATAGGATACATACATTTTTTAAATGAAAATCTTTGTCAAATTTTAATTCAAATCCCATCCACCCATAAAACAAAACTTGAATATTATTAATGACCGTAATACATTACATAAACGTAACATATAATATAAAAATAAACATTCCATTCAAGGAGCTAAAACATCTGTAGTACTAACAGCTGGAAATAATGTTTATCTTTGTGAACAGTATTGCATACTCTTTCTCTATAGCAGCAACATAATTTGTAGCTGTTGCATGGTTTTCCTACGTCCTGAATACAATTTTCTTTGGAAATGATCATACTGGATAATGGTTTTGCGTTTTATGAAATAAGCTGATTTTACCTTTTACATACGATATGGGATTAATAAATGAAAGGCATTTAATCAGAAACAGTATAGACGATACAATAAAATAGGTTACTGTACAATATGAGCAATCCACTGCGTAGAGAAACAAAATTTCACTGAAATATCAGCCTTAACTGTATTTTTCCACATTCACACAACCAGGGGTGTTTCCCAAAGCCTTCTTGATGCTATGTCGTTCATAAGTTCGGTGTTAAAAAATAGAACTTATGAATGACTTAGCGTTAAAAATTCCTCTGGAAACTCACCCCAGGATGGCGTGAGGTTTACAAGATTTATAGGTTTGCCTATAATAATAGTTTATAAGTAGCAGTATCATGTGATGTAATACCTTTTGCATTCAAGGCTATAAACTATCATTTTATTATTTTGGTGTGGTTGCTAAACGTAACATCTTGGTTTGATGTTTGCCTTATACTGATAATACTGACTTCTTGTAGCGTTGCTATTTTTACAATAACAGCAGGTTGACCGGTCGATATAGAATATCTGATTTGTCATAAAATAACCTCACACTGCTGTTAAATCAAATTAAATTAAATTAAATTAAATTTAAATAAATTAAATTAAATTTCAATGGCTACATGGAAAGTTGATCTTGATTTATTTCTTAAAAATACCCAAAATAGACAGTGGTGTAGTGGTGTCTTGGTAGGTGGATTTATAGGTATCATCCGCTTGATGGATGCTCGTTTTACGCCACTTCGGTTTTACGAAAGAGTTACATTAGCAGTTGTTTTCGGTAAATGAAATAAGTCCAAAGAGAATTTTTGCTATTACGAAAAAATGAGAAAAGCGAAAATAGCATTTAGCATTTGTTTATCAGCGAGCTAGTCACAGATATACACCCATTAGCCACATAACAACCTTTCGGTCAACAACGGGCCAAATAAATTACAGTGGGCCCATAAAATTATAATAGATCTGAAACATTCCTATCACCTATTGGCATCATAGCCGTCAGGAAGCTATAGCACTATGGATTACTCACATGTTTCTGTTGATGCTGGTTTATACAAACAAACAAACTGCCAGTGGTATAAAAGTGTAGTACATACAATTATGTACAGCACATAATACAGTCAGACCTCGGACATTCGTGAGGTTAGGTTCCAGAACCCATCGCAAATGAGCAGCAGTCGCGGATGTTTGGTAGAGTCACTAAAAATGGTAATATGTGCTTATTTCTATAGTTTAAACCCTAAATATGACCCCAGTCATGCCCCCAAAACACTTTTAATTTCATTTAAAAGTTAGCTTAATACATTACCTTTTTAAAATGTTTGATGTAAAAATAGAGTACAGTATCGCCTAACGGATATTTGTCACACTAGCACATTTACAGTACAGTATACTAATGTTACCCCTACTAATTCAAAGAACACGGCATTGACTGTCGTTTTCTTTTGTATTCACAGTAAAGTAAAATGAGTAAAGGAATGGGACTGTAAACTTATTGACAGAAGTCATATACATAACCAAGGTACAATTTAAGAAAATATGTAAAGGAAACATGTACTGTACGTACAGGATACAGGTACTGTATTCAATTCAATCATTTAAAAATTACGTAAAGACATACAGAAATAAGTTGTAAAAATACTATGTGTGTGCTAACCATGAAAAAGAGAGATCAAAAATACATACACACATTAAAAATATTTAATAAAAAACAGTAGAATGAAATTTTCGCGGATTTGTGAATTCGCGAATCATGAAGCACGCATGCATGAGGACTGACTGTACTTTATAACATTGGAGGTTCTAGACCATTTTAACTTTGGGGGGGGGGGGCAACCTGGGGCCAGTTGTTCTGTTATGGGGGCCAGATGCATTTAACCTTAATTTCCTCTGAGCATTACTTATACTAGATTGCCAGCATCAAGGAGCAAAAAACAATTTTGAGAACTTAAGAGTTATTTGTGCAATGCTTTGCTTCCACAAGCCTGAATAATTTTTTCCATCGTTAACTATGCTTTTTACCAACTGAAGCAACTTTACCACCCAGTGCACCCACGTTAAGAGTCTGTCAGGAAAATGTGCTCACGTTTTTGTATCACTTGTTCCCTGTGCACAAAATTTTAGCCCACATACATAAATAATAATAATAATAATAATAATAATAATAATATGAATAAATTTATTTCAGACCCAAGTACCATACGTATTTAGGGGGGCCACAGGAGGGGCATGCATGTTGTCACGGGTGCAGTGTCCCCCACCTCTGCTTAATAAGGATAATAAACAACTATGTTACTGTTTTTTGTATTTACTGTACTATACTTGTTATCGTTATTTAGGCTACACCATATAACCTAGACGTGCAGCAGGCTATACTATCTAGGTTGGTGTAAGTACACTCACAATGGTGAAACCGCCTAACGTCGCATTTCTCAGAATGTATCCCTGTTTAGCGACAAATGACTATTGATTCTGGTAGGTGAAAATACACCATACATGTCTTATTTCTGCTTGACATGAACTGTGTATTTATCATTCCTGCTTTTACTGAGTTATATGTTATTTTTAAATGTTAGTGTAATTTTCGGTTTATGTGTTATTTGGTATGATTTAGTAAGCCATTTTTTTTGGTCTCGGAACACAAAAAATTCCCATAAAAATGAATGGTAATTGCATCTTCGCTTTGCGACATTTCGGCTTATTAAAGGTTTCACGGGAATGCTCTACATTCGCAAAGTGGGAGATACCTGTACTATTACACCGTATACTTGTGTCTACGCACTTCTCCTCTGACTGACACACAGTTTTGGGTTTGCTTATGGTAAATCCATATCTTTAGAGGTGGGTATACCTCCCCCTCCCCCCCACCCTGGTGCCAACACTGCTACTCTGCAGCACCGTTAACCAGACCCAGAATTTCACACATCCAGTGCTCTTAATGGTGTACTGACCTCACTTTTATGACCTTTATTTTTCATTGCTGCCCAGTTTATTTTGGCAATGCCAATTCAAATAAAAAACAAACAATGCAGCAAACCAACAAATGAATCAATCTGCTCTATACATAACAGCGAAATCCAAACCTAAACAAATCTTGAATTAAGGTAAAATCTGGGACCTATAAAACAAAATGGGGTCTTTTCTTTCCAAATCGATAAAACCAATGTATTACATTTCATTTACAATTGAAACAGAAGCTACTCTTCAAGGAAAAGTTACCAGATTATACATACACAAAACGTTTCTTAAAATTTTGTCAGTGTAGCCCTTAATATTGTAAAAAAATGAAAAAAAAAAAGGTTTAAAAGGAGAGAGAAAAATGACAGCAATAAATAATACCAATGGCCCTTCTCAAAACAACATATCAGTTGCCATCATACACATTTTTAAAATAACAGAGATCTAGAAAAAAAAACATGTCCGAAAAAAAGAACAAAACATCTCCTACAATGGCTAAATATTCCAATGTAAGGTGCAGTTCATAGACTTTATGTCAAGATCTACTGATTAGTTTTTGCACTGACGCTATCAGTACAAACAGCAAATGGCTTCCCTGGACAACTATTCATATTTTTTTGTTTGTTTGTTTATTGTGTTTTCCCAGTGTTTTTTCAGAATCTTTTGACCAAACAATAAATGAAATATAATACAGTCTATAGTCTTCCAACAAATGACAGCTTCCTTTAATGAGTTACTTTTTGTATTATTTTAACCTTTTCCAGATGCCTATCACAGAACAGCAATTGTTTCCATTAATCCTGATATTAGAGTGCGATAGAGGGCACTGTATTAAACTGAAACCGCCATTTTGATAGTTTAATATACAACAGTAATATCACTGTAACCATTAATAAATCCGGAGCCCATGACAGCTATATCCTGTTTACAGAGCGAGTGACATCTGGGTACCTTATTCATTCCTGCCTGCCACTCAAGTGCAGGCTCAACGTTATGTTTAAATGATACATTAATGAGTGAAATCAGAAGTTTTCGGGTCTCTTGTTGGACAGCGTTGTATTTTTGTATATTTGCCCAAATGATGTTACCTGTTAGTCAACCTGCAGAAAAACATAAGCACTCCACCCCACTCCTCCTGTCCCAACATTGATCAGGCTCTGCTGTCCAAGCACCAGATTCACATTTGCTAAGTTTAAAGACATTCAAGAGAAATGTTTCAAGCAAAAAAAAACAAACAAAAAAAAAACATCAGATCCTGCATAAAGATATAGTTTACCCATTTAAACTTTTTATCTCAAAGCCTTTTGACAAATAACTCTCATCCCAAATAATGTCGCATTTGGTTGTTTAGGATTTGCTCATATTTTTCTCAAAGTAAATGACAAAAGTTGACAATAAAAAAAGTCAATAATATAAATAAAAGCAGCGATTGTAGGCGATGTGTAGGTTTTGACAATGTCCTTTGACAGTGTTCTTGTAGGTCTTGTAGGTCTTGCCAAATTGTCACACGTGAGCTGACAGAGCCTTACGCAGCTATCTGCGTCACCATGGCAACACAGTGGTAAATAAACATTAACTAACAGAAGTGATGAGGATACAAGCTCTAGGCCGTCCAGGCGATGACAGCTCCTCTCACATCACTCCTCTTGTACATCTCAGGGCTGCCAATTGTCCTTAGTTTCATCTGCCCTGATCTACTCTGTGTTCAACTCCAATGTATAATTAGCTCATAACTGTTATATATTTTTATACATTGGTATTAGATATTTAGTTGTGTATTCAGGAAATCAGTATCGTACATAAATGTGGTATTTGGGGGAGATGAATGTCCATAAACACATTATAACACAACTAAGAATTTATAAATGAGGGAGATGGACTGAAAATCTAGACCCTAACTTCAGCACACCATTGGCAACCCTGTTTGAACACAAGCACCAACTCACGTTCAGACTAGTTACACACATCTCATTACTTATAAAAAAGGACGCTATACAAGAACGGAAATGTCTCTTGGATCACATAGTTATTCCCTTTCATTTAAGAAGTCAGCACCCAATCGATGCCGCGGCACAGCAGGCAAGCACATAGCTGACTTCGCCAAGCCACGCCTGCCCGTGTTTCAAGCTCACTTACGGCACACAAACCACAAACCAAACTTATTGCATGAGTAAGAATTTATTTCGATTCATTGAGGATTATGTGGTCAGGTTGTGGGGGGGGGGGGATGTTAGGCGCCAGCTCACATCTTGTTCAGCAGCTTGGTCAGCATCTGCTGTAACTGTGACCTGGACATGTTGAGGCCTAGTGGCCTGCGCCGAGACGACCCCCCGCCCAGGGCTGCGTGCCGCCGTGAGGTCATGCGCGCCGGGCTGCTCTCAGCTGAGCGGCTCCGCTGGATGAAGGTGCCCCCCGCGTGGGGGTACTGCTCCGTCTCCAGGGTGGATGAGGAGAAGACGTAAGAGGCCAGCCGCCTCAGCTGGTTGGGTCTCGGGGTGGTGTGATGTGATGGAGGCCTCTCTTCCTCCAGCTGGAAAAGACCAATAAGAGTGAGCCTGGGGGTGACATCATTGCTCCTGATATGGTCATTACATTTAAGGCCGTCTCGGCGGGCCGTCATGTGCTGCTCGCGCCTGGAGCAGAATGATCGAGCACGGGTGCAGCGGTGCGTTTAAAACAGGTCACAGTGCCGGAGAGCTGCAAATCACGTAGCCGGGATGGGGGCGAGGGGCAGAGCAAGAGGCAGGGGACACCATTCACTACTTACATCGAAAAGCAACATTCTTGCCACCAAACAGAATGTGATTGAAGTCTTACAGAATTATTTAATATTGGCAATGTGGACCTCGGTATGGTGCTTTTCTACTGTGATGCAGTACTGATCAGTCGCTGTGACACCCACAGCCCTTTCATGCCCATAAAAGTATAAACATCTTAAATCAGTCAAAAAGCTTTAAATTAAGGAATAGAAGGTCACACAGACAGTCACTATTTAAAGATATTTTCTACTGCGGCTGATCTCACGCACATTTTGTATTTTTTGGCAGCCAACTACGATGGCAACTACGAAGTTTTACTGAAGTGCCCTGAAGTAGTACATAACTAAGAAGATATATCATTTTACCTACCCAAACATGTCACCAAAACAAAATTAAACTAAAACAAACTCCAGCAGTCTGCAAGCTGTGCTCATGGTGCTCTAAACAGCTGTCTTCCACTGAATTCAAGGCTCATCAGTTCCTAACTGTTTCAATTGTTTCATGGAGTCACTCATGCTTGTTTTGAAATTTTGGTAGCGGAAAATGAATATTAACCAGTGGTGACGGTAAACACAGCTGTCAGATGAACACCTTCCTGTAACCATGAAGGCTTCAACCACTGAGGCCCTGAAGCCAAACATCAACAGATTGACAGAGCAGTCAGGCATGTACCAAACACAGAAAGTCATTATATAACGTTTTATGGGATTTTCCACACAGAATTGGAGCTACGGAAATTCTTTATTGTTTTTTCAACAGCCTGGTTGTACAATTTGAAAACTGCTCCTAACCCTAAAGCAGAAGACTGCTGTGAGATTACTCTACCACAGGCCAAAAGCTAAACAGTCTTATGATGGACGAAAGACCAGCACAGTGGCTTGGTTGCTAACATGTAGCTACATCCTTGCAGGTCTGTGGTGCTGATTCTTGTGTGAGCGGAGTCTGCATGTTCTCCCTGTGTCTATGAAAGTTCCCTCCAGATACCTTAATATCCTAAGGATATGGTGTCTCCCTCAAAATGACCTGGTGTGTATGTCAGTCTGTTCTGGGATAGACTGCACCCATCCAGCATGTTGCCCTGTCTTCCTGGCTTTTTGCAATCCCCCCCACCCCATTGAATAAACAATGGATCTATTTTTCACTGCATCCACTGATCCAAGGTGCATCTGATTGGGCTGGATGAATTCACCCCCAGATGATGCAATGTGACCAGATCAGAGTAAAGTTCAAACAAGTAAAGGCCCAAAAACCTTTATGAATGTCATTGCACATATAGGGTCTGACACAGCACTGATGTTTATATGTAAATCAGCAAATGTAACACATAAACAGACACAGGAAAGTACACAGGACACCACCACACGTGGGTGCAAACATCACATATCATTCATCGCAGAACCTGGCCCCGGTACCTGTCTCTGAGGCCGAGACGGATCGGACTCCCTCCTCTTGGGGCGGGTGGAAGGCAGTGTGTGGCAAGGCGACTGGCTGGCATGTTCGGGGGGGGCCTCTGGCTTGGCCTCAGATGCCGAGTGCCCGCGGCCATTGCTCCTGCGGGACGAGTCCTCCTCAGCCACAGTGAGCATGGCGCGGCCCCGGAATTCACGAGTCCTGGGGCGCACGGCCACCTCGGCGCCCAGGCCGCGCCTCCTGCGCTCCTCATTCTCCTCAGCAAGCCGCAGCTCCTCGGGCTCCTCGTCTGTGGTGCCGGAGGTGGTGGGCTCGGCGCCCGGCTGGAAGTCCTTGAGCTCGGTCTCCTTGTCAATGATGACCCACTCCTTGCTGTCAAAGTCCTCCTCCTCGGCCAGTGGCACGGAGCGGATGAAGGCGTTGCTATGCGCCTCGTGGTCCGCTGCCGACACCTCCAGACGCCCACTGGCCTGCCGCTCACCCTGCCCTGCATCCACGGAGAGCATCTGGGCCGGTTGGGAGGAGTACACCTGGCGTGACGGGGATAGCAGGGCGTCCACACGGGACCTGGCACAGAGTGACCACCAGGGGGGCGTCATTTCACACCCAGGACAACAATCCCAAAACTAATCACACTTTAATTATGGAAGTAATACACATCTGAGACTGTTCAGAAAGAGGGATGACCCAGGATCATACCTGTTTTATGAATGTCTAATTGAGAAGTTGTTTTTCTATAAAATCCATTAATGAATATGAAAAATCAGTGTTTTTATCCTAAAAATCTTTGTTAATTTTATGTGAATTTTCCATAATTTGTTAAAAACAATAATATCAGGTTATAAGTTCAAATACAAGGCAAAACAGGACAGAACAGCACTATAACTGGGCCCCTGCCCTTGAAACGGGGCTGCACTCTGTAGACTTAAGGAGCCACACATGGATCTGCAGGTCATATGGTGGGAGGGTGTCCAGCTCGGCCCGCCGCCACTAAGCTGTCCTCCCGAAACATCCGGAAGCAAAATAAGCCGCGGCTGGCAGCCCTCCCCCCCAAAGGGTGTCTCAGTCATTTGGGAGACACTGCAGGGGGTGGAAAGAGCCAGGCGGGTTTGCGCTAATGCTCCTGATCTCCCGCCATACACAGAACACCCTCCCCCCGCTCATCTGCAGACAGCCTGAGGCTGCAGACGGCCTCCCCAGCTTCCACCCCCCACCCCCCGCGGACCCCTCACTGTTAACCTATATTCCTCACCACCTACCTACCTGTATAACAACAACTTTGTGTACTAAATAAAAGCAGTTTTTTTTTTTTTACAGTTACAGTTGCCTCCAGAGTCTAGATCCCTCTGCCTGTTTGACCGCTGTCTCCGACCCCTGTTTATTTGATGAACAAAAAAAAAACTGCAGAACTGCAAATATGTTTATATGCTCACATTGTACTGAAAAATTCCCAGTCTGCCTTCACTCACAGCTACACCACAAAACCTGCTCCAACCGCAGATGTCAGTGATGTACTGCTATCCACTGATATACAAACTGCAGTTCAGCTTTTGCTGTGATTGGCCATTTCTTCTTTAAGTTGTCCTCAGATAAATCACTGGAATTAAATTCAGAAATGTAATAACTGCACTCTGTTGCTGTTCTAAGTGGTAAAATACAGAGTTGCATAAGGATCTGTTTCTGAATCAGTATTATTTGTTCCAGAACGATATATTTTGGGATCAGTGTTATTTGTTCCACAGGGATCAGTTTTGGGATCAGTCTCATCTGTTCCACAGGGATCAGTTTTGGGATCAGTCTCATTTGTTCCACAGGGATCAGTTTTGGGATCAGTCTCATTTGTTCCACAGGAATCAGTTTTTGAATCACTCTCATTTGTTCCACATGGATCAGTTTTGGAATCATTCTCATTTGTTCCACAGAAATCAGTTTTGGAATCACTCTCATTTGTTCCACATGGATCAGTTTTGAGATCAGTCTTATTTCAAAGTGATCTGTTTTGGGATCATTATTATTTGTCCTTTGTATGGAGTTAATTTAGTGCCAAAAGTACCAATCAAAATTTTGAAAACCGCAAGCAAATCATTAAGTATCAGAATGAAAATTTGTATTCCAAATATCAAAAAAGTCAAATAAAATAATTTTATCCTTCTTCTTCTCTAATTTGTTTTGCTTTTGGAATGTTTTTCTTTGCTTTTGGGATTTTTTTTTTTTTGCTTTTGGAATATTTTTCTTTGCTTTTGGATTTTTTTTTTGCTTTTGGATTTTTTTTTTGCTTTTGGATTAAAAACGCTAAACATTAAAA